TTTCTTGGAGTAGTAAAAAGCAAAATAATGTAGCTCTGTCTAGCACAGAAGCAGAATATATTGGTATCTCCGAAAGTTGTAAGGAAGCTGTTTACTTAAGAAATTTGTATAAAGAAATAACTGGTTGCTCTGATTCTATTCTTATATTTAATGACAATCAAAGTGCCCATAAGTTATTATATAACACAGTTTTTCATTGTAAATCAAAACATATAGATATTAGATATCATTTTGGAAGAGAGTGTATTTATAAGAACATTGTTAAAGTAGAGTACCTACCAACAGCTGATATGGCTGCAGATGTTCTAACAAAATCTTTAAGCTGTGTAAAACATTATAAGTTTTTGGAACTGATGGGGGTGCAACATAAATGTATTTAATTTGTGTCTTAGTACGTTGTATTTGTACTGTATAACATTTTGATATAGTGGGGGTATTGATATTATGTAGGAATATCAAAATGTTGTGATTGGTTCATGTATGCTACAGGTGCGACATCTGTGTTCATGTAGCATAACCATGTTTGGAATGTGACTTTTAAATAAATTTGTCAGTCTGTCATTTGAATGCCCACGGTCATTTTATTAATAGAATTAATCAACCGAAAGTACGTAAATGATAAAACGTAATGCATATCTAAGTTTAAGATAATGATGGATTAAATAAAACTAAAGGTTTATTGGTTATTAAATACATCGATTTATTGACAGACACATATACAATGCTCGTATATAATGCTAGTATATAATGCTAGTATTCATATAAAAAAGAAAATGATGGGATTCAATTGTCGTCTACAATAACATCGTTTAAAAAATGAGGTGGTAAACGGATCTCTTCCTCTTGGTTTCTCGCCCACCCTAAATACCACACTACACACATAATGTGGGCACAGCAACCAAGAGTGCGTTTACCGCTTAGACAACTGCAATAGTAGTTTTCTATGGCTTCTCTGCCAATTTTCTCTCTATCTACTATAATGTACGAATAATATATTTTTGACCTAGTATGTCTAGATTGTATTCGACATCTTAGCAGCCAAACATTTGTTGCTGTGATGTCGTACCTGCCTAAGTTTCTATATTATAGGGACCTTGTCGCACATGCTCCGCATAATAGCTGCGGGCTAGCTTCACTTGGTATGTACCAAGTGCAAAAATGGTTAAATCCTCCTCAGTCAGCAAAGGAAAATCACTTATGTTAGGTTGGTTTCCTGTAATGCTATAGAAACTAGCCCGTCTACGATTAAGGTTGTTGGCTAGGACATACTCTGCTAGGTTATTTGGTTGGTTCATTCTTTGGTTTATAACCTCTATAAATGTTTCAGCGTGAACGCTATCTGACAATGGTTCTCTGCAAGCATTCAATAATTCAGCACCTATTCTAAAATCTGTCATCATATGAGGCAATGCACGATTGAAAAAGTCTTGTCGGAATAGTTTAAAATCGCGTTTGAACCAACCATTTATAACTTCAACAACCCAGCGGCACATAGTAACCAACCTAGACTTATTCGCTTTTTTGTTTTCGGTAAGTGAGCTTCATAACCATAGGCATGTAAGTCGTTTAGGGAATTTCCTTCGTCGTCAATCATATTTTTCATTATTTGTGCATCTGATTCTATGGCTGAATATGGCCCAAAGGCATCTAAAATGTGGCCATCGCAGCACACTATTAAAAACGGTTTCAACAAATTCGTGTATTTGTGTAAACTGTATGATCGCTTTTGGAATAAATAGTTTGCGGACTTTTGTATACACATATAAGTGGCGTCTGCTATCACAATTGCCTTTCTGTTTAAGGCATTTGCATTTCCAAAAATTGCATTTGGATCTTGTAGGTTTCGGTTAGCTATTATTATATAATTCTATTGAGATGATCAAAACCAAGATGCCGGGGAACGAAGTCCAGTAAAAGAGTCTCTGGCGAACGTTAAATGTCGTTCTAGGGTTCTACGGATCATATTAAAAAGCATCGCCAGCCTTTCATTTGCTTCACCGCTTCGCAGTTTCATTAAGTAGCATGCCAAAGATGTTTTCGGGCGTGTCGATACGTTCGACAATGAAGGAGTTCCAAAATATTCATAAATTGGTCTCGACTAACGCCTGATCGGATGTATACTTCATTTGGGTCCATGTCATCTATATTATCAAAATCTAGTATAGATCCTCGAAGCACCGCGATTTTCATGAGGCTCATGATATGCACAAAATGTGTGGCATTGAAGTCGTGGAGCAAGTTAGGGCTGTCAATTATTTGATCCCAATCATTTTATACCAAATGATGATCGCAAACTCTTGCACTATTTGGAATATAAAAATTAAAATGAATCAAGAATGTCACTTTAATGTTATCCGGAATCCTTCGGAGATCCGTTCGTCTGCAGTTTTCATACATACAACGCGTTGCTGTATTAGGAAGTCTTGAATATTCTTCAATATGTAATACACATTCGTGGGGACGTCTTTTGGCTGCGCAGCTCTTTCTGTCCGTTGCCAGCATGGTCGACAAATGTACTCCTGGCCATTGTATTGTATCTGAAAATGAGAGTATTACAATTAGTCAAAACGCTTAGTTATTTTCATTGAACGCTGTTCAAACAAAGCGAAATATAAAGAAAAATAATGATTTCGTTTGATGTACTTACCTGATGTTCAGAGGTCAGAGCTTCAAAGATATATTGGCCTACAGCGGGATGTTCTTCAAACCGAGCACGGGTTATTTCGTATCTTCTTCTGTTTATCCGCCATATTGTAATCGTCATAGTAAACACGACTTGAGTGAAATGCCGGTGGGTCAATGTGCTTTGATGCAAATAAAGTGATTTTAAATGGAAAAAGTTGTTAATTTAAAGTAGAATATGGAAAAAATGCAGAGGAAGTACCTAGTCATCAAGCTAGTCATTTTTAATGGAAAAAGTTGTTAATTTAAAGTAGAATATGGAAAAAAATGCAGAGGAAGTACCTAGTCATCAAGCTAGTCATTTTTAATGGAAAAAGTTGTTAATTTAAAGTAGAATATGGAAAAAATGCAGAGGAAGTACCTAGTCATCAAGCTAGTCATTTTTAATGGAAAAAGTTGTTAATTTAAAGTAGAATATGGAAAAAATGCAGAGGAAGTACCTAGTCATCAAGCTAGTCATTTTTAATGTAAAAAGTTGTTAATTTAAAGTAGAATATGGAAAAAATGCAGAGGAAGTACCTGGTCATCAAGCTAGTCATTTTTAATGGAAAAAGTTGTTAATTTAAAGTAGAATAAGGAAAAAAATACAGAGGAAGTACCTAGTCATCAAGCGAAAAAGAGAAAATCTATGGAGGGGGCAAATGACCGTAGAGAAAAGAAAAAGAAAAGGTCAGTATGTTCAAACACTTTGTTACCAATAATAGGCCCTAGGGTTGTGCAAAATATTGGAAAAGGAAACTCTAAATGAGCTCTAAATGAACAATGAGCATTGTGTACAATATACAAAAAGTTGATGGAGAGATAGTACCTGTGTGCCGCAATTATTTTTTTTGAGGTCTTTGGTTCTTAATAAAGGAAGAGTAAGAGGTGTTTTAAAGAGACATATGGATACTGGCTTCATGACTATAGAAAAACGTGGTAGCGATAGAAAATCATTCAAGAATATTGGTTTACGAGATGCAATAGTGTCATTTATAAAAAAAATCAAAGGCGTCGAATCTCATTATTGCCGATCCAAAAGCCGTCGTATCTATTTACCATCAGAATTATCTATTGCAACAATGGCCAAAATTTTTGTGGAAGAGCATGCAGAATATTCTCATTGCAAAGAATCCTATTTTAGGAGAATATTTAACACAAAATTTAATATATAGGTTTCTGTCATCCTACGAGTGATATGTGTTCCACATGCCTTGAATTCAAAGAAAAAATTAAATTGAAAAAGAAGATGCAATAAAAGCTCGTCTTAAAACAGAACTTAGTGTGCATGTAGCACGGAGCAACGCATTCTTTACCTTTTTGCAAGACACTGATCCTAAAATCAAGATCTTATCGTTCGACTGCGGCAAAAATTAACCAATGCCAAAGGTACCGGATCAGACCACATATTACTCTCGGCAATTGTATATTTACAACTTTACGGTAGTTGTGGGGAATTCTCACTCAGAATTGACACAAAATAAAGTCTTTTCTTATGTATGGACGGAAGATGTTGACGCAAAGGGATCTAAATTAGATCCCTTTGCGTGAACATCTTCCGTCCATACATAAGAAAAGACATAGTCGTATAGAATCAAAAACAGCTATCTGACTTTTCCCTTATTAGTGGTAATTAAGGAAAATAGTTTCACCATTATAATCACCTAGTAAAATGATTAATGTGTATATAATTATATTTGTTTGAGATTTTTTTTTAATTATTTTAAGATTTAAATAGATTAAATATCAATTACATTAATAATTAATTACCAAACTTTTCAGATTGCCGTTTTTGTTATTGACTTTCAAACATTTAGATCGCTGCCTTTGATTCTTCACAACAATCAAATTGCTGTCTTTGATTCTTGCCAAAGAGAAATAGAAATAGGGTTGTCAATAATTAAAACTCCAGAATTAAATATTTTAATCATCTTTACTACAGTTAAAAAAAGTAGCAATCTTGTAAGATAGTGAGTAATAGTTAAAAGAAAGAGATTATTATATTTTAAAAAATTAGACACGTAACACTTCAGATTCTTCGACGACCTCGTTACAATAAATCTGATCTTCAGTTGGTATTTCTTGTAAGGCCTCTTGACTTGCCAGAGTTTCTTTATAAAAACTTAAGGGGGTATTCTAGTGTAGAGAAATGAATTTTAGGTAATTTTTAGTGTCGTAAAAAAAAGCAATCAATATTTTTATCAGTTATTTATTAATGTTTCAAGAGTACAGAAAAAAATAAAAAAATAAAAACAGTCAAAAATTTAAAAAACTGGCAGCCGATGAAGTGGGGTGCGTCAAAAAATGGGCAGATGAGTTTTGACATGATTTCAACCCTCCTAGTCATCTGAAATGAAAAAATAAAAATTATTAATCTGCAATCTCTTCTTCTCAATAAATGGGCATGATGGTATATATTGGTCATTTTCGCAACTACATTGTAATGTAATTTTAAAACCTACTCCACGGTAAGTCGTTCGTGAAAATTTAATTTCTTTATTGCAATTTGCACACAAAACTAGAGAAGAAAGTGCCGAAAACACAATATTGCCGGGAAACTTCCGTTTTGTTGGTCGATCTGCACGATTATATTTTTTCGTTGTGGATTTTTTATCCATTTTATTTATAAGAATCAAAATTATTACTCGCAAAATATCCTTCGATAACTGCACATACGTCCACGTGTTTTCGAGGTTGGGATTTGACTGCCAGCAGCTGGATGTTAGTGAACACTGAATAATATAAAAGACACGTCACCTTGGGTTTTATATTACACTAAATACATACACACACATATATATATATATATCCTTTATATACATATATATAAAGGACAAAAGGTTTAACTGAGAAATATAGATTCAGGTAGACGGAGAATCCCTAATGTCTTTTGTTCGACTAGACCCAACCGAACCAGTTTGGAGGCCGGGTCAGTAAAATGTCTATAGCTCCGAAAATAATTTAAATTTTCAAAAATCCTCTCGTAGACATATTCTTAAATAGTTAAACTTTGAAAATATAAAAAAAAAATCGATTTTTTTGAAATTCTACACTAGAATACCCCCTTAAGTCCGATAAACTTTGCCATTCCAAACCAAAATGTTTGCCCAGTAATTTATTCACGTCATTTAACTTGCTCTTATTAACCGCAACTGTACTAGGTGGTATGGTTTGATTAATCATTCTAATAGTTTTTTGAGGCCTACAAATACTTTGGGGATTGGCAATGTCACTTTTATAATATAATTCACCTCTCACAAGTACGTTTTCACGTCGTTTTGAACAACGTAAAATGATCTTCTGAATCGTTTGCACTTGTTGAATTGAATATTCCAACTTGTAGTTGGTTTCACCACATCTTTAATGGCTGCCTTCCAGTCATAAACGTTGCAATCGACACCGATTTTTGATAATGTTGCGCTTTCAGATATAACATCTGTAATTTCTTTCGGGTCTAGTATGACCTCCCTCTTGCGCAACTTTTTTTCAATGATTCCAAAAACACGGTCGGCGGGCATAAAAGAATGACCAGTGAAGGGAAATATAATTTCTAAAACCTTGGTGTCTTTATATTCTAACAGCCATTTGCAGCAAATGCCAATTAGAATACTATTTTTATTTTGCCCGCCGCATCCATCTGCAACCAAACATATTCTTGTAATGCCTGTTTTGTCAGTTTTACAAAGGCGGTCATAAACACAAGATGCCACCAAGTTAGCATTTTTAGCAAATTCATTTTCTGTACAATAATACGAAAAAACACGATCTTTGTTTAAGGGCAAATTAGAAGATCCTTCCACGATGGCTAAATTATAAAAGTATAGTTGACGGCTATAATAGCAGGACTGGTCAGGTACCTTGGGTAATGGAAGGTTTTTTTGAAAATCAAAAGATATTATTTTTAGACCAGGTGTGGTATCTTTTAGGTTTTCAAAAAATGATTTAGCCCGTAAAAAATGAACCCTCTTCTCTGTTATCAATGTTGCTTTTTTACTTTCGTCTTGCTCTCTTTTTATCTTTTCTCTTAATTCCAAGCATTTAGAACAAAAGTCTGTTTGCGGTATGCCAAAACCTATATTATATTCTGTGTTAAAAACGTGACGAAAGTACAATAACTTTACACCCATTTGTGCGTTTTGCCAATCCGTATTATACATGAGATATAGTTTTTTAATATTTAATTCACATGGTAAGTATTTCCTTTCAGTATGTTTGCTTTTGCGGCAATAACTTTGATACTCAATACATTTGAGACTTTGAATAAAGCGGTGAATAGATTCTCTTTTATCTGCATATTTTCTACTCTTGCGATCTCCTTCACGACCTTCGCAGGTAAACTCTCCGGTCTCATAATTTTTTTTCATTAAATACTCAACTCTATACTTTTTTATACCAAAAATATTCAGAAATTGTTTTTGACAAATTGGCACTTTTTTTGTATTAACAAATACAGAATAGATAGTTTTAAATTTTTTCTTGCCTTTAAAATTGTTGTATTGAACATAATTTGAACAATATAATGTTCGAGTTTGTAGACTTCTTATAAAAGTTCTGATGGATTTCTAGTAAGTCACGCATTGTTAGAGTTGCACATTTTAATGCTTTTCTATTATGTTCACATATTCGATCTGGCAAGCTTTTTGGAGAATACCTAAAAAAAAATTGTTTAGGTATATAAAAAATATAGAAAATATGTATATTGGCACTTTCTAATAAGTACCTATATGCCTCTTGCTTACACATAAAAGTGCCTATCTCCGGCTAGTGTTACTGCCATCTTGTTAAAAACATCATATTCTTCACAAAATTATCTGTTGTTATAAAACGAAGTGTGCAATAAAATTAAACTAGCGTTTTGCCCGCCACTTCATCCGTGTGATCCCTAGGGATCCCCTGATTGCGATAAAATTTGCCGCACAGGTAATGTAACTCGAACCAAATGGTGCATCCATTTGGTTCGAGTTACATTACCTGTGCGGCAAATATCATCAAAATCGGTTCAGCCGTTTTGACGTGATTGACTAATAAACAAACCAACAAACGTACAAACCGTGAAACATCCATACTTTCGTATTTATAATTTTAAAGTAGGATAATTAAAACAAATTATGTGTTATATAGTATACTTATAACAACGAAATCAATGATTTGTTGAACTAAAAAAAAACTGGTTAGTGAAAATAAAATCCGAATTACGATTCTCTTACAAAAATCAACAATATTAATCTATTCGACAAAATTGTGCGATGACCCTATGATTAAAAATGGCAAAACCCACCTTGCACGTTTGGCAACATTTGCTTTCCAGTTTACGGGATCTCTTTTCTTTTTTCTTGTGAATCCTTTATTTGCACGTGTAGGGTGAACATCCATGCTAACTTTTCTCACCTTTAAACTAATTTATAAGCTATATTTTAATAATAAATTCACGAAATATGCACATAGATCTTAAAGCAAAAACAACGCGGACGCCATTTTGGCACATGGTCATTTGAACGCTTGTGATTGGCCGAGACCGACAGATTACTGTTTTTGAAACTCATCGTATGCAAGCTGCTGTATTTGATACTAATACGGATTTTTCATTCTTGTTTTCGGTCAAAGAATGCTTTATTTGTCACGATGTGATTAAATAATCATAAATTATTTTAACGTGATAATGTTGCCATATCCAAAACTTAAATTGCATAAAATCATCAGATTGCTGTTTTTGATTCTATACGACTCTAATGAGATATCAAGTGCCCTGTATCATTGTTTACAAAATAACATAAATTTCACTGATGTAGAAGTTCTCCGGCTTATGGCAGACGGATGTTCAAGACAAAATAAAAATTCGACAATAATCGGAATAATTAGCAAATGGTTTAGCAACAATGCTCCTCAGACACTAAAAAAAGTTGAGCTCATTTTTCCTGTCACAGGGCATTCTTTTATACCCCCTGATCGGGTATTTGGTGTTGCCGAAAAAGCAATAAAAAAGACAAATACACTAGTACAACCAGAGGAGTATATCAACATATTCAAAAGGCAGGCTACTGTTTTTCTTCTGAATGAAATTAAAGTGTGTGACTGGAAAAATGCAACACATGAAGTCCAGAAAGGAACGCAGGCATTGCATTTCAAAATAATGAGTTGCAAAAGATTCATTTTTACCAGAATGAAAGGAGACAGGCGCGGAGTAATCCTGAGAGGAGAAATGTATTATCACAACGATACCTGTGCCCGCCGTTCCATCACGAAGCCAGGGAAATTTGCTTCTGACTTATGTCCAGTGCCTATAACGCCTATAAGTTCTGTCAAGATTAAAAAACCTAAATTAAGTGACGTCGAGAAGTTGCTAACCAAACATTATGGAAGAGAGTGGGCAGAACGCTAAGAGCTAAGCTATTATAAAGCGGTCATAGAACGGTACAGAAATGAAACAGTTGATGAAGAAGAAATAGAAGACAAAGTTATTGAAGATGGTCACATTTTATGTGAAGAATTTGTTGAGGAAGCATCATTTAATAATTTAATATAAGTTTAAGATCTCTATAGATTCAAATCCACACCAAAGTTTCTTTAACATTTTTTTGTATGAGTACCACTTAAGTTTATAAATACGTTTAAAAAAATCCAAATCTTTTTAATCACACAAACCATAATATATTCAAAAATTATTAAAGGCATTTTTATCAAAAGTTTGTAATGAACGACAACCCTATTCGGATGTTCAATAACGGTTTGTCAAAATCGGTCAAATCCTGACAGCTACCTATCAAAAACAGCCAAATCCATTTCACTTCTAATCAAATAAAGGCAAATCCACACTTTATAAACAAAGTTAGGCAATTCCACCAGTTCACTTCTAATCAAATAAAAGCAAATCCACACTTTATAAACAAAGTTAGGCAATTCCAATATTGTTTTTAATTTTATTGCTATAAATCCAATCAATTCCTGTATTTTCATTGCATATTAATAATCTGAACCCATAATAAAACCATTTTTAGTATTCAAAGTTGCCAGTAAACAGGACAGTATGATGATATACAAAAGTTCTCTTAGCTTGGTTTTTTAACCATTAACGAAAATTACCTCCGGATTTGCGCCCGCATCACGAACTAAACATTTAAGTTTTTCTTTAGGTATTTCCCATGATGACAATATGCCTTCAAGTTTATTAACAATATTTTCTCCGGTATGGCGGCCGAACAACACACTTCTGCTTTAATTACTATCATTCTCCTTTCAAAATCTTCAGAAATCCCATGACAAGTTAAGCTTAAAAGTGACACACCCGAACAAGAATCAGACCAAATATCACTAGTAAATGACATCTTTTCGAAGGATTTTAACAATCCAAGGATTTTCTCTCTCATTTTGTCATATAATTCGTCTCAGATAAAAGAAGTAAAATACTGACGAGACTTTAAATTATATGATGGACACAAGTGCTTCACAAGTCTCACGAATCCAATACTTTCTACAAAACTAAACGGTAAGTCCTCCATCGTAATCATCTAACTTATAAATTTATCAACTGACAAAGCCTGCGAAGACTTATGATCCCATAGTTTAGTTTTTTCGACGCATTCTTGAAACGTTATTTGTTTAATATCTGATTGAAAACATTTATGGGAAGATGACGCAGGTCGACTAATTGCATCCCGTTTTTCTTTTTCGCATTTTTCCAACTCAGAAAATTCGTTTTTATGCATTGACTTCAGACGATTTCTCATAGACGTTGTAGTTCTTCCTTTACGAGAGTACTCATTGTTACAAAGTTTACATCTAGCTCGTTCAGCATCGCAAAGCGTAAAATAGGTCCATATTTCACTAGTAACTGATTTATTCATGTTAAAAATCACTAATCTCACTCACTTTAACCTCAAACCAAAAATGTTTACTAACACTCTGTCTACATGTAATAAACAAACGAACGATAACAAGTAAATGCGAGTGATATGCGCGCCATGCCAGCTGTCAAATCGCAGCCATAGATAAGGGGCACCAAATTTTATATTGATTACTCGCATTCGCATTGGTCGGTTGGTATTTCTACTGTAGGTAACTTTGACACATTGGAACAGGCCAGCTGTGAAGGCTGCGACTTAGTTTAGCTATAGTAGAAAAGTATTTTTCCTCAAACAAACCTACATGTTTATTTTCTCCCTCTTCACAAATCTTAACAAGACTACTTCACAAAGCTGATGTACAAGCCGGTATTAATGAAAGTGTATTTAGGCAATTAAAAAAAAGAGCAACTAAGATGTTACCGCATTAAAAAATATATGTTTTGCTCTTTGATGAGATGTCATTGAAAGCAGACGTGGCATAAAATCAGCGCAAAGATTGTGTAATTGGCTTTGTCAATAATGGAGAAGACATAAAATCAGAAATAGCCGATCACGCCTTGGTATTTATGATCAGAGGGCTTGTCTACAATTATAGGTTGCCAGTGGCATACACCTTTGCTCAGGCAGCTACCAAGGGACCAGAGCTTTCAAGGCAAATAAAAGCCGTGATCAAAAATCTATTAGAAGCTGGCCTTGAAGTATGTGCCACCATTTGTGAACAAGGGAGCAACAACAGGCATGCAATAAAATTATTATGCGAAGAAACAAGAGGGGATATATTGCGAAGATGTCAAGAAGTTGACCGGATTGAAAATATTATTATCATTAATAATAATAAAAAGGTTCCCTTATACGACCCCCCACACCTTTTAAAAATATAAAATTTTCAATTGAAGATAAGGAAAAAACAGCAAAGTGGGACCACATTATGTTGATGCACAAACAAAATAATATTTATGACACTAATACCCAAATTGACTGATAGTCCCGTGATTACAGAGAAAATCCCCAAAATGAGGGTAAAATACGCCAGTCAGGTATTCAGTAGAAGTTTAGCTGTGCAAATGGGGTTTTATGCAGGTAAGAGTTTTATCTATTTTTTATCTATCTGTATTGCTTTTTTTTAATATTTTAATTTCTATAATTTATGGCAGCCTGCAACAATTAACTCGTGTTGCAAGCAGTTCGTAGGTGATTGTTACCACTTATAGGTGTGATTGTTGTCACTGGAGCCCATGGTTCGGGGTGAGAACTTGTGGAAGTTCAGCATAGAGATGGTGGATAGGACAAGAAGAGGATACACAAAGTACATGACGACCTAAGGCCTTCATTGGCTGGCCTGAGGGCCTTAGGTAGTAGAACCCGACCCTTAAGCAGAACTACGAGTAGATAGGCTCTAGACAGAGGCACAGTGGTGTGCGTTTCTAAATTGTAGGGGGATGTGGCTCATGTATCAATAGAACTAGTCCAGTTTCCTAAGTTACATTTAAAGCACCCAGCAGGTCTTGTGGTCGGTTCGACGCCGACATAACTAGTTCCGTAAACAGGCTAACATTCATTTGCCAGCTAGTGCTAGACCAATCACTTATTTATCCCCTCAGTGATATTTTTTATTAACTTTAATTTACCCCCAAGATACCAAATATGAATAAATCAACTAAGAAGTGATCCTATGAGGATTCTATTTATACTGTTAATTTACTAAAAACATATATCAATGCAAGCTTACAAAGAACTAGATAAATACTTCCACTTAAAGTTGGAAGTGAGATATGTCTACTTTACTGTCTGTTTCATGTCCGTTCATAGAAAAAAAACATTTGAATATATCTTTTACAGAAAAAGGAATTCTCCCAGCCGAATGTGAAGACACGTCAGACATTCTGTTATTTTTTGACGATCTATTCGACGCAGTAAACGGAAGCTTTACTGGTGACCACATAGCAAAACCGTTTCAGGGCCCATTGACACCAGCCTCACCTCATAAAGCTAAATGGACCGAATCGATACAAATATTAAAAAGTATGAAATTTTAAGGAAAAGCTTACGTGCCGACGCTAGAAGGAGTACAAAAATTAATTAAACATCTAAAAGATACTTATGACATAAGCTCCGTTTGGATGCGTCACCTAAACCAAGACCAACTAGAAAACTTTTTTGGCTCTATAAGGAGCCATGGATACCGCAATACAAATCCCACGCCGGAAGTTTGAAGGTGCATTTGCGAGCCTTTTAATTAACAGACTTACTAGTGTGCACTCCCCGTCCGCAAATAGTGAAATTAATGACTGTGAAACATTATTTGCTCTCGTCATTTCTAAGGGTGGCAAAGCCTCGAGCAGTAACAATTTAATACCATTACTACAACTTGAGGAGATTACTCTTACGCCATTAGGCGAAAAAAATAGTAAAATAGTATATGGCGGTTCAGGATATTTCCTAAAAAATTAGAAAAGTATTTCCATAAAAACTCAAAAATAAAACTTTTAAGTCCTGCAAGAAATGCAAATCCAACCTCTGTACTGAGGACGAATTAGAATATATTAAGTATAGAGAGTATAGTGGTGGTCGCTGTCTTTGCTACCCAGATATAAGTTTCATGAAAAAATCATTTCTTTTTTAATAAATTTTGTTACCACATTTTTTATTTACAATTACTGTAAACGATTTAATAAAGTTATGGCAGGTAAAGAAAATATTGAGAACGAGGGTGATATGTTACAAAAACCCGAAATTTATGCACAAAATAAACGTTTTTTTTTTTACATTGTTTTATTTTACAAAGTTCTAATTGCATAGGTATATTTGTACACAATATAAACAATACTGTATATATAAAGTATTACCTATATTATAGATATGTAGGTATAAATATATTCTTTCATATGTTGAGTAAAAGAAAAGTTGTTGGTTGCGCCCAACAGATGGCGTTGTTTTGTAATTTCAGAGGGTTGGCAACGCATCTATTTGTTTATATATCATTGGCGTTAACTACATTGACGATCCTTTAGAGTACCGTTTCCGTAAGCCAATCACAGCGCGTTATTAGAATTACCGTGTAACGTTGAGGAAGAATTTGAACAACAAGTTATAAACTGTCGAACATTTTGTAATTGGAAAAGTTTTATAAACAGAATATCATAGGTAAGTGCTATTTTTTACTATTTACGTTTTTTATATCATTGACTACATTTCAAAAAACTGTTACAGCGTATTATCACTTTATATGAATATTTTATTTTATATTATATCTTTTATTTTATATGAATATTTGATAAAAACTGATGCGGACTTAAAAGTACCGTCAGGTGAATTGGGTCTCAAAAATTATGGGTTTTTATAATACACATACTCGATGAAGTGGGTATTTTTTTCATTAAAATTCCCAATCTGTTTGCATCAATAACATCGAATTATTTTCTTACGCCCCATATTGTTTCCACTAACATTGACAGAGGAAGATAACGTTCCGTTCATTCCGGTAGTTCCGCAGGCGCCATGTTGCGTTTGTGTTTTGTTCTTGCATCCGCTACTAGTGCTGCCAACATTACGCCTGTGGAAATTCTTGACGGCAAATGCACCTTCCGACTTAACCTCAAAGACTGTACTCATGTCCAGTAAGTTTGTTCTAATAACATTCGCATTGATGTTCATACCGGAATGTTCTATTGCCATTATCATTGGCCCGAATTTTTCCGGTAATCCAGCTAACATAAGCGACCCAATCCACTGGTCATTGATCTCAAAGCCATAACAATCAATTTCTGTGCTGTTTCGGTGAGCTGGCTGACATAGTTTGGTCAACGATTCAAACTAATTTTTCGTGAATATCCTGAACCGTCGAACATGTTTTGCAACATCTTCCATAAGTCGTATGTTCTAAGGGTCGTCGTATGTCACATAAAGGGAACTGTCGATAGTCAATACTAGCTGACCCGCGCAACTTCGTCTGCGTCTCTCAATAGTAATAAATTTTCTCCGTTTTTGAAACATTCTTCATTGGTGCTCCGCTCCTATTGGTCATAGCGTGATGATATATAGCCTATAGCCTTCCTCGATAAATGGGCTATCTAACACTGAAAGAATTTTTCAAATCGGACCAGTAGTTCCTGAGATAAGCGCGTTCAAACAAACAAACAAACAAACAAACAAACAAACAAACAAACTCTTCAGCTTTATAATATTAGTATAGATTAGTTTTGCTCTCGCCTTCAATAAAATTATTTCTGAGCCGGAGTAGCCATCGACAAAAGAGGTGCCTTGATGGCGTCCGCCATTCCTTCGAACACGTTTTCCGCCGCGAGACACCAGTCGTCGTAATTTTCACGATCTTTTAATTTCAAGACGTTGCCTAAGTAATTTGTGCGCATTTTTGTTATCCTGCGCACTGAGATCACTACCTTTTAGAATTGTTTTTAGCGGGACTGGGCCCATAACCTATTAAAACACGGTCTTAAAACTCGACTGCACTTATACCACAGATAATAGAACACAAGGAATGGTACATAAATTAACAGTTACATTAAAATATTATTTTGTTACCTGTATCATACTAAATAATACATAACAGTTTTTACTCCTTTCTATGGTTGTGTGAGAATTTTTTCATTACTAATTTGCTTTAATTATGTTTTGTCGATCAAGGTATGGAGTGATTTAAAAAATAACTGTAAAAAGTAGTGTGCGAAAATTAATAGGGCGGCTAGTGGTACTGGTGGTGGGCCAGCACTTCAATTTTTCTGACTGACCTTGAAAATAGGGTCATGCTGATAATTGGAGTGCAAGCAGCAATAGGTATGGCAATAGGAGAAGGTGGGTTTCATTGGGTTAGCAGTAGGTATTGGAAATCATATTTTATTAATAAGAGCATTTCCATTCTATAAATGTGCTGGCTAATAATTTATTAATCTTGCATTTCAGGATGAAGTTTCCGAGACTCCTCATCAGCCTCTAGCTACATCAGAGAGATTTCCTGAAGTCCTTTCAGAAATTGTTATTGAAGGTAAATGATAAAGTAATATGGTAAATCTCATTTTTGTATTATGAGACTTCCACTAATGCCTGACATTCAAATAAATTGTCAATTGTAAGTACAGTTATCACTTTATAAATGTTTGAACTCTGAAACTCTTTGAACAATGTTAAAAAAATGACTAAACGTAAATTGTTTACATTTACTTAGTAATGTCGTAATGTATGTATTTCTTTTAAACCTTTTATTTTCTTTCTTGTGTCATTTCCACAGGTTATTTGAGTCTAACGCTCTGTGAAATGTACTACATTTATTTAAATCCATTCTTGGGTACTCCTTGTCATTTGTTCAGTGTATTTTTATATTGTTTTATGATTAATGATTGTTTTGTAGAAAAAAAAAAATGTTACTTGAACAATACCACAGTAAACTTATAGATAATAATAATTATAATAGTCCTGGGACAACTTATGTCACATATAATATATGTTGTAATATTATTTTGTAGATTGGAATAAGCCTGGCACATGCAGCCAACCAACTGTTACTTCTTCTTTAACCCCAACAAACCCCCACCCCCACCACCACCCGAGGTTCAAAGTCAATGTTTTCCAGTCGCCCCAATGGAAGAAGAGTGGAAGCCATCCCAAAAAAATGAAAAAAAAAAAAATTACTATTAAAAACATTATTAGAATAGGACACAAAGGCAAGGGAGCATGATAGGGTATATGAGGAGATGGAAAAGGAAAGGTTGAGGTTAAGGAGTAAAGAGTTAAAATTACAGACAGAGTAAGAGATTATGAGATACGAGAAAGAGTGAGGCAGAGGGATGTAGAGTTGCAACTGTTTTTTGCTAGGTATATGGAAAAAAAACAGATTAAACTTGTCTTATTTTTTATCACTTATTGTTATAATTAAATATTTAACTACAAAAATTATATCAAAAATTTAAATTATTGGCCAAGTTAATTGAATTTATCAACATATTTCTAATCGCCCTTCCCCTGAGTAAGTCATCTCCTGTATTGTTTTCATGAAAAATATATTCATAGCTTTGTTGTGGCATCCTAGGGTCTTGGGGTTCTGGTTCAGGAACATTGTAGTCAATGGCCAGGTTGTGCAGCACGCAGCAAGCTGTAATTATTTTTGCGCATTTCTCTGGTGCGTAATGTAAGGTACCTGAGGGTATTAAGGCCTAGCTAAGGGAAATTTGTAATAAAATTAAAAATATCCAACATAATCAACAAGTTTTATTATTAATCAGTCATGTACTTAAATGACTACAGAGTTTAAACCAAAAATAGCTACTCCAGCTTAAAACCAAAACAATATATAACTTTTTTTAAAACGCAGTCTGTAGGACTTTTTATACTAGGGTAGGGTAAAAAGGTCTATCCTTAAACTATCTAAAAATCAACTTATACTATAGTATCCGTCTCGAGAAGCTATAAATTAGGTAAACAAACAGCTTTTACTAAGTAAATATTTTTACTGCGAGAAAATAATGAATCGACCATATTAGATCGACGTAAAATTTAGATGGGTTATATGAAAAAAACAACCTATTTAATTTAGTCGGATCATATTTAACGATACAAAGCGCTGCCGTTTGTGTATCTTGGTACCGGGACACGCCCGTCGCCGCGATTGTAAACTCGTCATTCGAGTTTCGAATGCGTACAAGTTTGTTTCATTGCTTTGTTCTTATCGCGGATTTGGTTGTTAGTGTTATTTTTTTTATTGTTTCGTTATTACTTTGTTATTACTATTACTTTTATTATTTGTTGCGTTAGTTTTATAGTTATTGTTATTTGTTATTACGTATAATGGACCCAGTATCCGGTACATCTAAGGACATCAATTCGCCACGAAAAAAACGTCAAAAGGTACGTAATGCAACTTATCTAAAACATATATTTAGTAAAAAGAAAGAGTTAAGTAAGTATATAAGAATATATGTATGTATATATATATATATATATATATATAAATACATAAGAATAGTTGTTTGTTCAAACGCGTTAATCTTTACATTGGTTAATTATAACTGGAGATACAGCTTGAGTTTCGTGTACCTTTCGACGCCGTACTGGAAGAGATCAATTTTGAATTGGCACTTTTCGGAATCAAGAGATATGGCGAATTCATGTTAGGAACTATCAACTCTTTTTTTAAAGAAACGAATTTGGCATTTTTTTAATTTTTGGTCAAGCGTGAGTTGTTTAATAAAATCTTATTAGAGTTCAATTATTTTTTTAGTTAAAAACTAATAAACACGGGTGAAGTAGCCGGCAAAAGCTATTTTAATATGTAATTCTATTTTTTTACAGATGACGAGCTTTACGGCTAATGAGAAAAAAATGGTGATCAACGTATATAAGTACGTGAAACCAAATTGACCACCTAAGGAATATCCCTACAAAATAAGTAAAAAAACAGCATCTATTTTGGGAATTGGCATAGCATCTGTGTGTAATATATTAAAAGAACATAAATCAGGAGAGGGAATAAAGTCACCTATAAAACTAAAGACAGGCCTAAATTTCATCAGAAAGTAGACGATTTTGATAAATCCGCCATTAGGAAAAAAATACACAGTTTTTTTTAAAGGCCAATTACCAACAATTCCCAAAATTCTTCATGCAGTCAATGATGATGATGAATTGCCAAATTTTAGCGAATCAACTCTCAGGCTAATAAAGCATTTCGATCCCCCCAACCAAGAACTCGGTAATGCGCTATTATGGGTTTTATGCTGTTATGTCAAATTCGGCATCTAGGGACCGGAATACACCTTAGCAATTTTAGATATTTACAAATATTTCATGACACACATGTTTATTGTTGGGAATTTAGACACAATAATATTTCGGGAAAAACGCTGTTATAGATCTATACGAAAAACATGTTATTTTTATTTTGGTAAGTTGCGGTTACCGGGTTATTGGCGTAACTAATTTTCATGAAGTTTTTGGTAAAAGTGAGTACGGGGTTTTTGTTGCATTAATTTTAAAATACGTATTCCGTAATACACACTAACAATGTTATTTAAGATTGGTATTGGCTCATTAATGTACGTAATATTTCAATAGGGTCAATTTATTCAAAATTTCAATACACCTAGCTCTGTTCTGGATATTACTGTTTTTGTCTAGCCGCGCAATAGTTTGCAAAGCGCAATTGTCTCTTTCTTTTGGTAGCTGGTAGACAGTAATAGACATTTGCCACGCTTATAACAAGTGCCCTTGGCCATCGGGCCGGTGCGTAAAGTTTGTTTACGTAAACAGTTACATTCAGATCTCTGGACTTGCACGCAGATATTTGCGCCACGCTCGATATTATTTAAGTTGTAGTGATAAACGGATAGTTTATTTGATAGTTTAAAGTGACAATGAGTTTTAGAAGAAATAGACCATTAATAAATGAACGTGTGAAGCGAATGCTTCAAATGGTTGAGGACACAATAATTACAAGTAAGTACCTACTATAACTTAGTAACACTTGAAGTTATTGGTTTATGATTGTGTATTTTGTAACGTTTTTGTTGACTTTGTGATAGGCGCCGATCAAGAGGTCCAGAAATAACTCCGGAGGCATCTACCAGTGGAAAGTCTGAATGACGTCCAAGCATTATCAAAAGGTGTATAGCTTTTTTATTATACCTAATAACTCACTATACCTACTACTAAAGAATAATAAGTTGTATTGTAACTGTGACATGATTGTAACTTTAATTCGTGAATTCGTCGTTTTTGTAAGTTTTTTTTTAAAAGGAAGGGTTTTTAATTATTCTACTGTAGTTTTACACAATACATCAATACCTTCCATTCATGTAAAATGATCAGATATACATATTTCAATTCGGTGCCAGCTAAATCTAACAAATACATAAATACAGGGTTATGTAGGTACCTATGTGCAAGCTGGTATTTTTTGAGGGCAGTTTTTTGAAAACTTTAATCTTTATCATTTCAGATACATATTGCGAAATTATTGCAGTTGATCCCGAATCTAGTCTAATAGAAACTTTTTCCAATCAAGTTCTGTCAAGATATGGGTTACGAGGTACGTATTAGAACCTGGCCGTAGATAATTTTAATCTTTACATTTTTCTTTATAATAATGCGTAACATAATTTGGTGATTTCAATTTATTTCATAATCCCTTAAATGAATTAAATATAACAACTCAGGTAATTTTATTGATTACAGACAGAACGAAAAAAAAATACGTTGATGCTGATCAGGAATCCAATGAAGATTTTTCGCCAGACGTCTCGGAATATGCTCCGAGTCCAAGCCCAAACATATTGGAGAGTCCATTAAGTAGCGCTTCAAGTCTAAGCGCAGACTCTGCATGCATTAATAAAATTATAGCATTTCTAGAAATTATTAGCACTTTATCAACAATTTCTAATCTATCATTGTATTTAACCAACGCTGATTTCGTGGCTTCTTCATCAGAAATATATATAGCAACCTTAGATTAATCTTAACCAAGTATTGAAAAGGAAAACCAATCAAGACCAAACATAATAAGAACAATAATTAGCCAAGAAGATATAGATGACACGTTAAAATCAGATGAAACTTCAGAAATTAATCACTATGAAACATTGACCGGTAGAACTTCAAATAACTGCTCACATGCTAAGAAAGTTGTAGCCGACAATGAGGATAGTCCAAGTTTAATACGGAAAATTAGTAGCGAAGAAGAAAACAATGAAACTTTAAGACCAGAAGGGCAGTCAGAAAGTGACAATGACACAACATTGACTGGTAGAACTCCAAATAATTGCTCACATGCTAAGGAAGTTGTAACCGACAGTGAGGATAGTCCAAGTTTAATACGGAAAATTAGTAGCAAAGAAGAAAACAATGAAACTTTAAGACCAGAAGTTGTAACCGACAGTGAGGATAGTCCAAGTTTAATACGGAAAATTAGTAGCGAAGAAGAAAACAATGAAACTTTAAGACCAGAAGGGCAGTCAGAAAGTGACAATGACATAACGATGGGTGGTGGGACTTCAAGCGATTGCTCGCATACGGCGACAGCAGAAAGCGAAAAAAACGGACTAGGAAACGCAAGCTGATTAGAACTGAGTGGCGGAGTAAGAAAAATAAAATCTTCAAAAATTCCGGCAAAGCTTACGAAGGGTGCAATTCCAAAAAAAAATCCTGAAAAAACTATAGGCTCCCCATGTAGGTGTAAAAAAGGTTGTAGCCAAAAATTCAGTCCGTCAGAAAGACAAGCTATATTTGACAAATTTTATAGTCTCCCTGATCGCGAACATCAATGGTTGTATATCAGTAGGTATGTCCAAGCACAAACTATTAAGCGAATGACGTTACACCGTAAAAACAACCGGACACAAACTTTGAAATATTTTTTCTCTAATTCAAATAATGAAAAAATGCCTGTTTGTAAAAGATATTTTTTGAATACTTTACAAATCGGAGAATATGTGGTTTATACAGCAATGGACAAAGTTATGAAAGCAGATGAAGGACTTCAAAATAAACGGGGAAGACATGACAATAGGCTTAACAAAATGAACACTATGACAGAAGCCACTATTAAAACACACATTGATTTATTTCCTAAAGTACAATCGCACTATACGAGAGCGACTTAAAACCGAGAATATCTTTCAGAAAACTTGAATATTTGGAAAATGTATCGCTTTTATACTGAGTGGTTTACAGAACAAAATTATACGGATGTTGTGTATTACAACAAACGTTTACGACCAACTTTTAGACCCAAAATGGATCTCCGAAAATCATAAAATGAGCATTTACATTTGTGTATCAATTAACTATTTCTGAATAATTAAAAACCTAAACAACGCAAGACCATCGAAATGAGACCTGCGGAATTATAACATATGAATAAAGCCACGTAGCTAACGAAATGAAGTCTTTTTCTTTACATATATTTTATGACACCTAATACCTACACATAAATACCTATGTAGGTATTCAGGTACCTAATGATGATTGTATATAATTAGGCTTTTTGCATATTATATTATTATTAAGCGAGTTATTCTTTATCATCATTATTTAATTTTTGCTATAGTAATGAAGTAAAAATTGTTCAGACGAACTCGTATAAATGCATTTTTTTATTATTTCTAAGTCATATAACTCATAAGTAATCGGTCTTAGCTCTTAGCCATCTAAAGAAAAAAATCTTAGAATGTCATTCTCTAACCGATAAAACCATTTTTTTTCGTTGGCCGGCACTTTTTTTTTGGGTACTTTTTGTATGGAGCGTGAATGATGTCCTTTATAATATTATTTTAAATTCAAAGTTATGGTGAAAAATATCGTATCAAAGAATTAGAGCAGTCCGAAGTTTACGATTTAAAACCACTCGTAGATGACATGTGTTGGCGGTGCGATAAAGACGGAAATGTGATCCGTTGGGCTGACGTCGTGGAGGTAAGCGTGGTCGACTCTTGTGAGTCGACCTCCATGACCTAGTAACAAATAAGTTGTTTTTCAAATATAATTTTGAAGACACTTATTCAGAGCTTGATATAAACAACACTCCCTCTACCTCAGCTAGACGACGAGGACGAAAGCGTACGAGTACTCAAGATGCAGCTGTATATATGGATAATGTGCAGTTGCAACGCGCATACCACCAACGTATACCAATAAGCAAAGCTTTGCATACAGACCTTTTGAGTTTATGTAGTAGTGGAGCTATTCCTCAGAGTTACCATTCTTTCTATCAATCCTTGTCCTGTTCTGAAGGGGGGAACGAAAATATTTCTGAAGAAGAATTAAATTAAAGAGTTTATGTAGCTCATTGTTGATTACAGGAATTGATTATTTGGATTATTTTTATTAATAAATGTTCGCATTAAATTAAAGTGTCAAATTTCATTCTGTGGTTTAATAAATATTACTTATATAATCGAAATTATTGTATTTTTTTCGTTTATTACCTTCTGATATTACATTAAAATATTTAAAAAAAAATCGGTATCGAGTGGTCACAATAACACTGTTATTCTAAATTTTCTCGCAATAATAATGTTATTTATCAATACCGTTTTTAAAATTATTTGATATTACCACAATAACTCCGTAAAACACGTTACATATCAGCCCTACGATAAAAAATAACGCCGTAGAAGTCCATAATATAATGTTATTAAATATTTTATTTGATAAATTTACTGCAAAACCCAATAGTTATAGCTAAAAAAATAGTTAAAAACCGATAAGTGGTTTGTTTATTTACCATAATTTTGGACTATACTTACTGTTTAAAATGCATACTTTAAAAGTGTTGTGGTACGCTTATAATGATGAAGAGTGGCTTAGGCGCCGAAATAGAGACATAAATCGTCAGAGCATGGAGACAATACGAAAAATACCGAAAACTATTTTTTCATTACTTGTAGATTATTTCTTTTTCTTAATGTTTGTGTTTTTATAGGTGTTATGTGCTCTTAGTTTCCTAGCCACAGGATCATGTCTTGTCTTGTCAGAATTTTTGGCGTCACTCAGCATCTTGCCAAACGGACAGCTAGTCGGTGCATCAGACAAGTTGTTGATGCTTTGAACCACCCTGCTGTCATGGCTAAATGGATTGAGTTTCCGAAAACACTACAAGACAGAGCATTTTTAAAACAAGAGTGAGTACTTATTGGTATTGGTATTGGTTGTGGGCTTCGGTTTCCGCATTTAGACTCAGAGTGGTCCTTTATGCGTCGAGGATTGGTTGACTAGGTGAGCCAACCAAGCTCCTTCCAGAAGCGCAGAAGCCTCCTGGGGCGTTCACAGGCTTCTAGGAGCGACTTTATATCAGGAATGATACTTGCCCGTTGTGTGGCCACTCCCTCGCATTCCAGGACTACGTGGGCGGCCGTTTCTTCAGCTTCCAGACATCCCCTGCACAGGGGACTGTCCGTCGCATTGATTATGAATAGTTGTCGGTTCAGGGCTAGATGTCCTGTAATAGTTCCGACAACCATTCTGAGTTCCGGTCTGCTAAGACTGATCAATCTGCAGGTGAGTCGTGGTGTGACTTGATTCAGCACCAGTTTGGACTGTCTGCAGCCGGGTGAGTTTTTCCACCTCCGGTTGTGTGCTTCACAGGTCCGTTGCCTGACCCAGCATCGTATTTGGTTAAACGATATGGGCAGGAGTGGCGTTGGGCCAGAGGTTGGGGTTGCCGAGCCCCTCCTTGCCAACTCATCTGCGGCATCGTTCCCGTGTGAGTTACTGTGCCCTTTAATCCATTGGAGGAGTACCCCATTGAATATAGCGAGCTGTTCCAGTGCTTGGTGGCATTCGAAGACAATACCAGAGGTCATTGTGTTGCCCTCCAGTGCCTTTAAGACGGCCATGCTGTCGGATATTATTCGGATGTTGTAGTCCTTGATACCCCTTGACATGGCCGTTGTGGCAGCGTAAGTTATTGCCACACATTCACATTGAAATATGGAACTGTGTTGGCCTAACGCTAGTGATATGTTTATATTTAGGTCTTGCGAGAAAACTCCGGCTCCAGTTCCTGACCTAGTCTTGGAACCGTCCGTGTAAATTCGGACTTCGTTAATGCCGGATTGATCTCGGTCATTTCCATGTATCTGGATGTAGTATCTTCTTGTGAAGATATGGTGTTTTGGGATTCTATCGCATGGAGCTGCTATCAGTGGTTCGTATTCCACTAATTGATCCCATAATTTGGAGTGCGATCCCTCACTTTTGTGCCATAGACCCAGGTGTTTGAGTCTAATGATCGCCATGGCGGCCTCCTGCTGTATGAATAGATCCAGGGGTGGCAGACCAAGAGCCACCTCCAGTGCGGCAGTAGGCGTTGTGCGCATACAGCCAGTGACCGCGGAACATGGAAGTCGCTGGAATTGCTGCAGTTTGTTTATGACGGTGCTAAGCTCTGTTCTCTGCCACCAGACAACAGCACCGTAAGTGATTATTGGTCTTATGACTGTCCTGTATAGCCATAAAGTGATTTTGGGTGATAGTCCCCAGCTTTTGCCGAGTAGCCGCTTGCATTGGCAGAAAATAATGCAGGCTTTATTCAGTTTTTCATCGAGGTGCATATTCCACAGGAGCTTACTGTCCAGTATTACTCCTAGGTATTTGACCTCTTTGGTAAGAGTAAGTTGTGTTCCAAATAGCTTAGGAAGTCTGAGATTTCCTAGGCTGCGTTTGTTTGTGAACATGATCATCTCTGTTTTGGATGGGTTCACTGTCAGGTTGTGTGCTACGCACCATTGTTCCACGATCTTCAGTGCAAGTCTCATTTGATCGCATGTAATGCTCTCAAAAGGACCGCTGATAAGAATAGTAAGATCGTCTGCATAGCCTATTGTGAGGAATCTTTGGTCATTAAGTTGTGCGATGAGCTCATCCACAACAATGTTCCATAGAAGAGGGGAGAGTACACCGCCCTGGGGGCAACCTCTAGCCACCACTCCTCTAGTCACTTCGCTCACAGTGAATTGAATAGCTCTATATCTTAGCATGCTATCGATCCACCCTGAGATTGTGGAATCAACACCATGCCTAGATAGAGCTTGGCTAATGCTGGTGAAGTTGGTCTTGTCAAAGGCTCCCTCGATATCGATAAAGGTAGCCAGTGTTGACCTTTTGTGATTTAGATTGTCTTCTATATATGAAACAACTCGATGTAGGGCAGATTCTGTTGATTTACCCATCGAGTATGCGTGTTGATTGAGGTGTAGAGGGTGACTGACTAACGCAGTTTCCCTGATTTCCCTATCTATTAGCCTCTCGAGAACCTTTAGTAGAAAAGATGTGAGACTAATAGGTCGGTGTGATTTGGGTTGTGTGTAGTCACCTTTACCAGGTTTGGGGATGAAGACTACTTTGACTTCTCTCCATTTCAAGGGGATGTACTGATGCGCCAGGCAGCCCCTATAAATTTTTACAAGATGGTCCAGTAGTGTCATATCACACCATCTCAGTAGGCCTGGGAAGACACCATCTAGTCCTGGCGCCTTGAATGGTAGGAAGCTGTTAATTGCCCATCTTAGTTTGTCATGATTGACAACTTTGCGGGCCGTATCCCAGTCTGTATCATCTG